AAATTAGTCTCAGAGTTCACTGAATATGAGCAGACAGTAATATCAGATTCAAGCTTTCAGACACAGTCTCCTTCCCTCCTTTCTTCTCCCAAAATATTCTAAATTATTCTGTTCATTTACACTACAAAGTTTACCCAGCCAATAAATTACCAGCACAGATAGTGACCAGCTACTATTTCGACATCGGATGAATGCTGCCAGCCAGCAAGGACATTAGCAAAAGACCAAATCCTAAAGTTCCTACCTTTTTCAGGAAGAAACCCCCTGGAATTTTGATACAGGGCAATAGGACATCCTCCCTCTTCCACATCATTAATCTTTCCAGCAGCGACTTGCCAGCTAAAGCAAAGTGAACTTGCTGTCCATTTTACTGGTTTGCACTTTAACCACACTAACATATCTGCTTACACAAAAACGGTGTAAGCCACCATCCTTGGTCTCTTTAAATAACCATTTCACATCTTCTAAGTGAGCATAAGATGAAAGACACTGCATAAAAATTTAAGCTAAAAGTTATATAGGGATCATAGCCTTCCCTCACAGCATACTTAGAAATAAATAGCTTTTCCTCCCTTCCCCCATTCAAACTTGAAATCTTGCTTCAAGGAAATATTATCAGCCTTAGAAAGAAAAATTAGCAAATTCACTTAGGTCTAGAATCAATTATTTCAAATGCCCTTTTTATTCACCTTGCATTAAATCCAAGTCTAATCTCATCTTGTAATTCTAGACCATTCATGCCACATTAAAATCTGGCAGCTATCAGCCAACCTGGGTGAGTTTCTCGTGTAAGGGATAAAAACTGAGATCAAGAAAATTCACGTGATTCATATGCAGTGTTAATATGGGAATAGATAATATAAGACATGTCCAGAAACACATCCACATTGAGGACTTAATTTTCAGTTAAGATACATGCCCTCCAAAATCCTGAAGCTCCTGAACAACTGAGTGACTCCAAACATACAATGTACTTCCATGTTTTTCCCTTTGGTTCAGGCAGTTTGGAGACACTGGCAGTGACATAAAAGGGAAGAAGTGCTATGAAACTATGAATTAAAACACTTATCTTTTAAAGTTAATTTTTTCCTACAGAACTATACCAGAACTACCAGAAGCCCACAGAAAAGCTGGGGGGGGTGGTGGGAAGCAGGGGCTGGACATTGCCACCTCAGAGCAGCATGGCTATTCTTGGGGTTTTACCATTACAGACCCTTGGTTTGGTGGCCGTTGGAAAATGCTGGCAGAGCTATTCCAATATCCTGGATTTCTAATTTCAGCTATCTGGGTGGGGAAGGAGAACTGACCCCTGCTCATCTTTCGTTCCGACACAGCTGCCCAAACACCTCCAACAGCCAACACATGAACCGAGCTCAGCCCCAGGGAGCACCAAAGGACCCCACACCTTGTCTCACCGAGCACCTGAACATAAAGTATCCTGAAGAAACCAGCATCCATCCAAGCATCCTATACCCTACCAATGTGTAGGGTGGAGAACAAAAAGCCTGGCTTCCCTGTGGCGATCACCTACAGGCATTTCCCACTTTCCTGCAACAGCAGGATGAGACAGCCCATCCTTTCCACAGTTTTCAACAAAGAAAATTAAAATTAAATGCAATCTCAGTATTAGGTCTCTGCCTTTGATAGCACCAGGTCTGACTCTTTGCAGTTTCCCTACATATTCCCAAAGGGAAATAGGATGGGCATTTCGAAACCATTCATCTAACTAAAAGGAATATTTGGCTTGCCAGCAGCCGACTGGCAAAGCCTGTATTCCTTATTCATGACCCAACATTTTACTTAGGAGTGCAACACTGTTATGCTGAAGCCTCACCACACAGCAATTGTACGCCACCAATTAAAATTAATTATTGCTGCTGAAAACCTTAGAATGCAAACCCTTCCAAAATGCAAGGGCACACTAATCCTGCTCTGGCACTTCAGCTTCAGGAAGGAACAATAACCTTATTTTCTAGCTAGAATTCAGCTACAGCTTTCACCTCTTCAGACAGGTCTAAAGCCCAGATCGTTTGGTTAGCGCTTGGATCCTGCCCTAATCAGAGCCATGATTTCAGTTCTGAAGCCTAAAGCCACGTTTTCAATGAAATAAAGCCACTGAACAAGAATAGCTCACGAGGCCTTTGTACAGACAGACAAAGACAGACACACAGGCAACAGCACAACTGGGCTGAAAAACCGCTGAGCCAGGACAGGGGATTAATGCCTGTGCGGAACCTCAACACCGCTCGCTGTAACTCCCCAGCTCGATCCTAGCAAGCACAAGCGCATCTCCAGATGAAAAACAAAGTACAGGTTGTTGCAATTTTTCCACAAAAACGCTCTGGGCTGGGTTCTGACGGCGTGAGGCTGCAGAGGAAGGCATTTTGTCTCCAACAGCACAGTGCTGATATGATGGCTTCCACTCAGTCTTCTGCTACCTACAGCTGAACTTCTTATTTGTAAGAGGAAGAGACAAACCGGAGTGTATCTGACCGGCAGAGCTCACAAGAAAAAAGTTTAAAATGCCACGAATAAAGGGAATTACTTGACAGCACCCTCTGAATGTTTTCCCCAAAATTCCCTTGCTGAATTGAGAGAGTATTCTACAAGTCAAAAAGCCGGAGACAACACAGTCATTCACAGCTTTGCCTCCTCCGTGCAAACCCAGCCCAGAGGCACAGGCTTTAATCTCGTGGTCGTTAAAGGCTTTTGTCATTCAATGAGGCTTTCCCAACCCAGTGGCTTCAACACTCCCATACTATCTCACGTTACCTGGCCTCTGGCATCACCCCCAAACCTGCACACAGCACTGCTTAAGGAGACCCAGCAGCCCCCGCCTTCCTCTAAGGATTCACACCAGTTTGTCTAAAGGAGTCAAACAAAAGGTTTTTTTCCATAGAGGCCTAAAACAAATCTGTATTAAACTGAAAATATCTAGCACCTATCTGATTCAAGCTGAAGCACATATAGTGGAAACTAATTGACACTGGAGAATTATACAGATTTCTTCACATCCAGTCAGCTCAAGAATTCCTAAACAAATGTAAATAGGAACAAGAAAGCCAATCACCAGGTGAGTAAGCTCCACAGTGCAGTTTTCCCTTCCCAGGCTCTTCCTTAGGTGTACATGACCCAGACACTGGGCTTTTCATGTAGTTTTCCCCAATACATTTGGCAGGTTTTGGCCGTTAAAGCTGTTCTGTTACAGAAAATATGTTGAAAATACGTGCCCCCGCCAGAGCATCCTAAGATAGCCTGGCACCGTGCTGAATTCCAGACCCCTGCGATGGCTCTGCAGTGATGGGGCTGGGCTGGAGGGACTGACAGAGGAGCAGCACTGGACTCTTCCTACGGGTAACCTGCCCTCTGATAGCATCCCAGTCACCATCCCTCATGGATTTCAGGCTGCCGAAGTAGAAGCTTCACACACTCAGAATTCAGTTCCCAGCAAAGCCAGACAAAGCCCAGGCCTGCCCCAAGGCTCCCCTCCAGCAGCTCTCTTTTAAACCCCCTTGGCAATCCCTCAGGTTCTCCCCTTTCCCCACAAACCCTGCAGTACCAGCCAGCCTGGGGGAGAGGGGGGTTCAGCCCCTCTCACCAGCCCACCATACTTTGCCCGGCAATTGTCTCCCATTCTGCATCCCTGTCTAAGAAAAACCGGCAAGGCACAGTTATGAAGACCGAGGAGTGTTCCCCATAATTCTTATTAAGGGAGCGGTGCTGCAGTGAATTATGATTATGTTGTGTAATGAAATCATCAGGGAACGTGGCTGCACGTCTATCCCCAGCTATCCTAGGCAGCCAGGAGTGATTTACAAACAGATTGGGCCAACATTAAAAAATAAACAAACAATCGTGAGCTCAGACTTATTATAATATCACCTTATTTCCACGTTACTCTCAAACTCTTGCAGGCCATAAAGCTCAGTCACCCAGTAGGAATTTAAAGACCCCAAATTGTAACTATGATTTAAGCCTAGTTCCACCTAAATTACAAGGTAATTCAGACTGAAAATAAAAAAAAAAAAAATAAAAGTCTGTCCTAGGTTTTTCTCTTAGATCGGTCTCACTCAAATGGATGCCAATGAAAGTGAGGTAACAGACGCTAAAAGCTTCACAAGGAAAAAATTAAGCATTGTACTATGGTCGTTTTTACAGAAGGATACAAAAATCACCAAGAACGGGGTAGCAGCAAAAGGCAAAAACCAGCGAGAGACAGTATCTAAACCTTCATTCTCTTTAGATATTACAGGATTACTTTAAATATTACTGGATGATATAACTTCAATCTGAAGATCTAGAACTTTTATGTAAAAATCTTCCTTTCTAGAGGTATTTGGACAGGTCTTCAACCTAACCAAAGCACTAGGCACACGATGCCTAAAAAAAGGCAAGCACTGGGGCCCTTTGGAAGGTTTGATTCACCAGAAGCTGCCAACACCGACAATTTCACGGCAGAGAAGAGGGCAGGTCAGGGCGGGGGGGCTGGGAGCAGCTTCTCACCCTTTATGAAACCGTAATGCATTTATATTTGTAGCAAAAGAGAATTTTGCTCATGAAAACGCACTGACGGCCGTTGTCATTTTAACGCAGAGCTGCTGCCCCGCGAAGGGGCAGGGGCCGGGCCGGGCAGCCCCGCTCCCTTCGGCCGCTTCCCACGGCCGGGGCCGCCACGCGTGACCTTCGCAGCGCCAGGCCGGGTCCAGCGCCAGGCCGGGTCCAGCGCCAGGCCGGGTCCAGCGCCAGGCCGGGTCCAGCGCGGCATCCTCGGCGGCAGCAGCGCCGGGCCGAGCGGGTTAAGCGTGGGAGGAGTGTACATAAGGTGGTAGATCCCGAGCCAATAGGGATATGGCGCTATAGTTAGACACTGGATCCTAAGCGATGGTGACCATAAAGGCTGCGCAGGGCTGAGCCGCTCTGGATGATACCGGCACGGTGCCCTTAGTTCCCGGCTTATAAGGCAGAAAAAAAAAAAGCAAAGGAGGATCAGCTGGTCTTACCTGCAGTTCACACCAAGCGACTTCCACCCACGTCTCCGTGTCCAGACCCTTATAGACCGTTTTGAAGGATCCCCGCCCGAGTTCAATATCAAACTTTAGGAACCTGCCATCCAGCGAGGTGGCAACGGCTTTCATGTCAGCCTCTTCCTCGGGTTCCTCTTTCTTAGCCTTGCCCTGGTCCTTGGCAGCATCCTGCGCCTCTCTGCGCTCCGCATCCTTGCCGGGCTCCTTCTGCTCCTCGGCGCTCGCGGCGCTGCCCGGGGCCGGCGCTGCCCGCGGCTCCCCGGGGGGCTCGGCCTCCCGGCCGGCCGCCTCCGCCGCCCCCTGCCCCGCCTTCGCCCGCTCCGCGATTATCCTCCTGGTTTTGGGGAGCAGGATGATTCTCCGCTGGTGCTCCGCCTCGGGCAGGTCGAACGCGGGCTCCTCCTGGTCCGAATCCACCACGCTCCGCCGCAGGAACCGCTGGTGGACCAGCTTGGGGTCCCTGGAGCCGGGGCCGCGGGGCGGCGGGGTGGGGGCCCCGGGGGCTCCAGGGGCTCCGGGGGCTCCCGGCACTGCAGAAGCGTCCGTGCCCGCGGCCGCCCCGCTCCCCCCGCCGCCGGGCCCATCCATGTTCACGCCGGTGTCCGCAGCCGGGGGAGCGCCGGGCTCGGCAGTCGCTGGAACCCCGCCACGGCCGCCGCCTCTGCCGCCCCGCCGAGGTGCCGCTCTGGCATCGCCCCCAGTTTCCATCCGGCCCGAGGTCTCAGCGCCCGCCGCCGCCCTGGCCCGGGGGAGTCACCGCGAGCCGCGCCCGCGCCGCCACCTGCGCGGGGGCGAGCGCAGCCCCGCGGCCCAGCCCGGCCCCCCCCCCGGGCACCTCCCCCGGCCCCGGGGCTCCGACCAGCCGGGCCCCCGGGCCGGGCCGCGGCCGCGCTGTCCCCGGCAGGGGCGCGGCCGGGAGCGCCGGTGCGGCTGCGGGCTGAGGTGCGCGGCGGGGCCGCCTCACCTGCGGCGGGGCCGCGCACAAAGGCGCGGCGGGGCCGCTACTTACGTGCGGGGCCGGGGGCTGCCGCGCTCGGCGCCATGCGGGGGAGGAGGGGCGGCTCCGCCGAGCGTGCGCTGCCCGCGCTGCGCGGCGGGGCCGGGGCAGCCGCTGCCGGTGCGGGGCTCCGCGGCTCGGCTCGGCTCGGCTCGGCCCGCCCCTGCGCCGCAGCCCGCCCCCGCCGCAGCGCCGGCCCGGCCGCGCCTCCCGCTCCGCGCCCCGCGGCTCGGCGCGCTCTGCCTGCGGGGGCCCCGCCGCCGCTTTTGTCAATGGGGAGCGTTCCCGGGCGGCGCCCATTTAAGGCACCGGCGCTCGGCGGCCGCCAATGAGGCTGCGGAGGGCGGGCGGCCCCCGTCGTGTCCCCAGCCTCCCAGACCCCCCCGGCCCGGCCCCGCCGCAGACAATGGGAGGGTCCTGCGCCCCGCCAGCGCCTCGCCCCGCGCCCGGCAGGTGCCCGCGCGGCCCCGAGAGCATCCACCGAGAGCATCCACCGAGAGCACCCTCCTCGAGGGCATCCCCCTGCTAGCATCGCCCCGAGAGCGTCCCCTCCAGAGCATCCCTCCCAGAGCATCCCCCTGGAGCATCCCACACACACACGCACACACACACATCTCCCTCGGAGCATGTCCCCGAGAGCGTCCCCCCCGCGAGGGTGCGGGTGTGGGTGAGCAGAGCGGTCCCGCAGTTCCATTCGGTCTCTGGACCCAGGAGATGGCTACGCCAAGCAGCCCGTTATCTCCAGGAAAGTGACTTAGAGGGAATCAGATACTCTTCCCACTCGGCACCTTTCAGCATCCCTCAAATGGAAAACACAACCAGGGGCCGACCAGCCATGCTTGGCCACTGCAAACACCACACAGCCCCTGTGCTACAGCATCGCAGGTCAGAACACATGACCGGTCTCACAGGGTTGGGTTTTTTTCCTTCATTCTAGGCAGTTCATAAATCACTCTATGAATACTGACCCTTTGGTTCAGTGTGATTGACACTTGGAATTAGGCTGGACAAAGGGAACTCAGATCCAGAGACCGAGCTGTGCTTCCAGAACCTGGAGCAGTGCATCCAGCTCTGGGGGCATCAGCACAAGAAAGGCACAGACCTGTTGGAGCGGGTCCAGGGGAGGCCACAAAAATAATCAGAGGGATGGAGCCCCTTTACTCTGGAGCCAGATTGGGAGAGCTGGGGTTGTTCAGCCTGGAGAAGAGAAGGCTCCAGGGAGACCTGAGAGCCCCTTCCAGTGCCTAAAGAGGCTCCAAGAGAGCTGGAGAGGGACTTTGAGCAAGGGCTTGGAATGACGGGACAAGAGGGAATGGCTTTTCACTGCCAGAGTGGGATGGGATGGGTTAGATGGGATATTGGGAAGGAATTCTTCTCTTTGAGGGTGGGGAGGCCCTGGCACAGGTTGCCCAGAGAAGCTGTGGCTGCCTCATCCTTGGAAGTGTCCAAGGCCAGGGTGGACGGGGCTTGGAGCAACCTGAGATAGTGGAAGGTGTCCCTGCCATGGCAGGGGGTTGGAATGAGATGAACTTAAAGATCTGTTCCAGCCCAAGCCGTTCTGTGATTCACCCCCAGGTGAGGTCGGAGATGCGGGACATGAGCTTTGCCAAAGGCTGCGCCCGGTGACAGCTGTGACATTTCTGCTCTGTAAAATCACAAAAGGACTCTGGCCACCACTGCTGCCAAGCTGCTTTCTCAAGTATTAGGTTCATACAAACATACCATATGTTTTAGTAATTAAAATTTAAGTAAATAGAAAAGTATAAAAAGAGAAGGCTTAGCAAGTAATTATTCCCTGAGATTTCTGAAGGAAAGGAAGCTGACTGCCAGGCAACCATAATTAGTTCTTCTTTTAATTAATTCATTTTTAGTTAAAAATTGGGGTTTTTTAAAAAACCCTTTTAAAATAAAATGGGTAGTTATTGTCAATGGAAACTCTGGTGCTTTATTTTTATAAATCACAGTTGACTAATAATTCAGCATCATGGATGCATTTGATCTTTCAGTGGTTTGCTTTTTGAAGTGTTCATATATCAATGATATTTCTAGGACTTGCAATTGTGGCGTAAAACACAGATTTGTGTGATGTGTACAAACCCAGAATTCCCAAACATTTGTCCTGTAAGCTCAGCTTTGCTCCTCTCCACAGATGGTGGTTCCACACACAGAGAGCCCTCTGCAGTTACCAGGAGAAAAGCAGGGAATGTGAAGAGCTCTGACACCTTCTCCCTCTTATTACATAAATTGACCTAGAACTCTCTTCCCAACAAGGGATAGTCCCACCATATGTAGAAAAAGGGACAAGATTCAGGCTAATGAGAGGGCTATAAGTAGCTGGCAGTGTTTCACTCTGCAGGTGGACAGGAAAAAAGGGGAATATTCTAGAGCTGACCAAATACCAACCCCAAAATCCACAATCAAGAAAAATATGGGGAAAAAAAAAAAAAAAAAAAAAGAGACTGGATTCCCCCATCTGCCTGTCATGGCCAGGCCTTCTGTGGAAAGCAGGGATCTGCACACTCTCAGGCAAGCAGAGTATCCCAAACCAGCCTCAGGAGGACACACGGGCACTACCAGGCTGCAGTGATGTCCCCTGACCCATTCCCAGGGCTCTGCAAGCAAAACAAGACCTGTTCTCACACCAGTTTTCTCACAGCTGAGCTTTCTCCAGTGTTTGTTGTGCTGTCCGGTGCCAGATGGCGCCCAGAGCTCTTCCCGTATTGATTTGTCTACTGAAAAATTAGCACAATTTGCATGTCACAAACTTAATCATGATCCACTATCAAGTGCTCTGAATCTGTTACATGGAGGATCTTTAGTACTGACATGGAAAGAAAAAGCTTCTCCCCGCTGCTGGTGTTTAACCTTGTCCATGCTGCCTTATGTTTGCTCCTCACCCCCAGCTGAGTGGCTCTGGGCAGCAGTGTGACAGCACGTGGCAGTGTGTGGCACTAGGGGACCAGGACCAGCACCAGGCTCCAGCAGTGTCACACATGCAGAGTGGGGTGGCAGCTCTGGGGCTGGTCCATTGTCTGATCCAGAGCTCCACAGCAGGTAGCAATGGCCCTTCCCAGCAGTGGGGTGTTCCCCAGAAGACAGAGAACTGTCAGGAGCTGTCATTCCAGGCTTCCCAGGTGTCAGTGTCAGCAATGGACACAGAGCTGGGGAGATGCCCAGCCCTGGTTCTGCAGCGTCCTCTGCCCTCTGTCCCACAGCCAGCCCAGCGTCCCACGCTCGGGGAGGAGAGCTCAGCCGGCACACAGCCCACCCTGTACAGAGGGGTTGGACACTCTCTTGTTTCTACCATCAATACAAAGCCCCTCGGCCAACGGGAACAGACACCTACAATGTTTCCTTATGTTTCCATAAGTAAAAGCTTCTTTCCCGTGCAGCGACCACGCCCTGGAACAGGCTGCCCAGAGCGGGTGTGGAGTCTCCCTCACTGCAGATACTCCAGAACCAGCTGTGGACACAATCCTGTGCCATGTGCTCTGGGATGACTCTGCTTGAGCAGGGGGGTTGGACCAGATGACCCACTGTGGTCCCCCCCAACCTTACCCATCCTGTGATTAGCTATTTTATTAGGGTCCCTCTACCTTCCTTGCTTTACCCAGAACAGAAATGTGTTATTGACTCTCCTGCTGAGCTGTTTCAGCCCTGTGCAAGCCAGCAGACAGACAGACATAAGGACACTATGTCACCAATCACAGCAGACTACATCAGTATGCGTTATTGACAAAGGGCATGGAAAAAGACAAACAGTTACAGTCTTCCCAATTGTTAGAGCATCAACAATCACCAGAGCAAGCTGGAAGCACCTTCACCCTTGAGAGCTCACTGGTGTGCAGATGGCATTGGAAATTATAGCACATTTCAACTAATAGGTAGTGAAGGTGCTACCTCAGAGCGTGACCTTAATCAAGCCTTTGACTTGGAGAACTGCTCTTTGCAGGTATGAAAGCCAAGCTGCTCATCCCCTGGGTGAAATTCCCTCTCCACACAGGAGGCTGAGTGAGCCACACATTGTCCCAGAGCACAGATGGGCATTTCCACTTGACAAGCAGATTAACACTGGTCTGTCTGTGACTCCCCTCACTGATGGCAGGAACAGTCAGCAGCTCATTGACACAGAGCAGGACAGCTTGTCCCAGTTAATAGCTAGTGTTAGTTTTAAAGTAATAGCCATTATTCTCTTCCCAAATTTGTTAGTTGTGAGTGAGGAAGTTCAGTCCAGTTCGACCAACTTGACTTTCAGGTTCTCAGATACGGAGAAATTTTTGTTTGTTTAAAATAAATGTTTGCAGGGGACTGTGAAAACATTTATATTGGCCTCCACTTTCCTGTTAACTTGCTTTTTTATGTAATTTACAGCTTGATTGAAAACAGGGCAAATACCTATTGAGAGCTAATTTCAGTTGCACCCAGGATGTGCTCTTACACCTGCACATGGTACTGACCCTAATGTAGTGTTATATAGTATTTGTGTTTTCTTTAAAAGAACAATAACAACCATTTAAAAACCCAGTTTCCCAATACATTCTTCACTAGGTCATCTGTGTTCTGTTCTAGCTATTAGTTTATAGACACAACATAGATACAATAGTTCAAGTAACATGGAATCATAGATTCCTAGAAGGATTCAAGGTCATCTCATTCCACCCCCCTGCCATGGGCAGGGACACCTTCCACCAGCCCAGGTTGCTCCAAGCCCTGTCCAACCTGGCCTTGGACACTTCCAGGGATGGGGCAGCCACAGCTTCTCTGGGCAACCTGTGCCAGGGCCTTAC